ATAAGAAATAGGGACAATAATACCTTTCTCCCAGTATTGTTATGTGGACCAAACGGATGAGGAGTATATGTGCTGAGCCTGGCATTTGCAAGCACGCACATGATTCTCTTGCAAAATAAAATAAAATAATATTTGGTTGCTCCCAAGCAAGGATCCTGCATAACTTTTGAGTTCTATTTTTTAAATTGATTTTCAGAGAGAGCAAGAAGAGGGAGAGAAAACAGTGATTGGCTGCCTCCTGCATGTTCCTACTGGGGATCGAGCCCATAATCATGTGCCCTGACCAGGAATCGAACTGGCAACCTTTTGGTGCAGAGGAATGATATTCAACCAACTGAGCCACACTGGCTAGGGTTATACACACTTTCTACTAAGCCAAAAAGTACTGCTGGTCAAATATATTTATTATTTTATAGTTTTCTAATTTTAATTCTAACCTTTCCAGAAAACTTCAAAAGCCTCTTCAGTAGATTTTACTTCTACTTCTGTACATCCTGCAACATACATATTATGATTCTTGTCTTCACGAAGCAATTTAGATTGTAGAGGTCTATGGGAAAGAAAAAATATACAAGTTTGCTAAATTGTGAGTTATAGAGTTATTAATAAATTGAGTTATCTAAAATGCCAGGCAATATAACATCCATTGTTATAATGGGAATAAACCTAAGCAAGAACCCAGAAAAATATTAAACAGGAAACTTTAAGGATATACAGTCAAGATTAGTTATAAAAACTTATTTTGTTTTAAAAGTTTTGCTCTAATTTGTTCTAACAAAGTACATGATATAACACTAAACAATTAGAGATCATAGTAGTATTATAGCAACATTACATGCACAAGTTAAGCATCAAATTTTAGTATTTCCCTAAATTTAAAAGATTAATAGAGCTGATTCTGACCTCAGGGTCAGAAAAAAAAAAAAATTCAGAGAGAGTTTGGTATATACCAGGAGTGGCAATCCTTCCAAAGTGGCTGGTCAAGTTTTAGTCTGTATGATAAGATGGGAAGGGGCACTGCTTGTTTGGCCTCAGTCTTGTGAGTGGTGGAGATAAAAACATTTATCAGCCACCATCACCCACTAAATGGCTGATTTTTTTTAGGAAGCAAGGAGGGGCTCATTGGTAGCAGACAGCAAAGTGCCAATGAAAAACCACCTACGTACAAACACTCCACAGATGCCAAACACTAGTATATCTGCACCCTTCTCCTTATAAAAAGAAGAAGAAAAAAGTCAACACAATCACATACACAAAGTCTGTGTTCCTCACGGGTGTGCTGCAACTGTTCCACCTACCAAAGGAATAAGGTAAAGTTACTGTTTCTACAGCAGCCATCTCATAGTAACACATTCAGTCCACAGTATGTGACAGTCACAATGAGTTGTATCTTAAAAATCCTCCAATGCAATATTTCTACATTGTATTAAAAAACACACACACTAAACATTAATCAGTTAAAAAAAAGCAGGTAACACACCACCTTAACAAATTAAAACTGAACTCAGTGCCAAATAAGCACCTTGTGAGTTTATTCGAGTTACAATTAATATTACAAGGAAGGCACACAAGTCATATTTGTCAGTCCTTTTGTATAATGAAATAAAATCAAGATAATAGGCTCCTATGAAAATAACCTTATTTAGGACAAACAAAAACTTGGCACATGTGCAGACATGAAACTGACTGTTAGCAGTGAATAACATCATAAAAGTTTAGAAAAATTGGGTATGCAGAACTGACACTTTGTGTTTTTTCTTATTTTAATTAATATATTTTTATTGATTTTAGAGAAAAAAGGAGAGGGAGAGATAGAAACATCAATGATAAGAATCACTGATTGGCTGCTTCCTGCACACCCGCTACTGGGGATTGAGCACGCAACCTGGGCATGTGCCCTTGGCCAGAATCGAACCTGGGACCCTTCAGTCCATAGGCCAAAGCTCTATCCACTGAGTCAAACCAGCTAGGGCCAGAACTGACACTTTGAAACAAATGGGAAAGTAATTAGTCTATACACTGTTAAATGTAAGTAAAAGTGGGTATACTGACAAGTGTTCTCAGTACAATGGTTTCCTAAATCCAACTCTTTCTCCAATAATGTTGGATTAGACATACACACAAAAGTTAAATATATGACACAGATCTTTATATTATTTATGTCCTGAAAGGCCCTAATGAAGAGGGCATCTATATATATAAAAGGTTAATGTGTAAAGTGTCCCTTTGGGAGTTCGACCGGGAGTTTGATTGCTCGCTATGACATGCACCGACAACCAGGGGGTGACGCATAACAAAGGAAGGCTCTGGCTGACAGCAAGGGAAGGGAGGCCCCGGCAAGCAGATGGAAGGCCCCGATTGGCCCTGATCACAGGCCAGGCCTAGGGACCCTACCCATGCATGAATTTCATGCACCAGGCCTCTAGTTGAAGATAAGCATTTAGCTTAAGAACAAAACCATAAACTCAAGAACAAAATATTAATATTAGACATGGGATTCCAGAGTTAGCTCTGGCATAAATGCAGATTCATTGTTTGTGATGTCAGGTTGTAATTGGTCTTCATTCTCAGCAGGCCAAGACTCAAGGACATGGGAGTAGTCATTTAACTCTGGCAGAATGACAATAGAGATGTCATATCATATTAATCAATGAGGGAAGGTCTGTGAATATTAGTTGTACAGACAACAGCTTTAGGCTCCATTCTGTAGAGATCACCAAGACAAATGGTTAAAATGGGCTTCAAACTTCCAACACTCAGTGTCACTTTTTTTTTTGAAAGGTAGCCTCAGGGCACATGGATAGTGACACTTCCTTATCCAATTAAGATCCTTCTTAAAATACAGCTCAGGGACAAGAGTTTTCAAAAATAATGTCAGGTCTCCTCCTTAGATGCTTTAACCCACTAGGTCCCCAGCACATCTATATACCTAGATAATAAAATGAATCATCAAGCACCAGTTGCATGATACACAGTTATATTTCATTTTGAAAACAAAAATAAGCATTACTCCTATTTAAGGCTCACTGAGGTGAGTGACTGCCCCAAGATTAAGCAGCTAAGCAGGGACTATCTTCACTACTTACTTAGGTTTTATGGGATCAAACGGCACCTCTTCCAGTAGATCATATATGTAATTATTATATATTTCAATATAAGAGACAAACACGCCATAGACACTATCCTCATCAACTTCTTCTGCTTTGCAAAATTCTTGAACATTTATCATATCTGCGAACTCTGGATCTATTTGTCGCCTGAAAAAAGGGAAAAAGCCAGAAAGTCTAATTTTCCACATTGTGAATTAATATCAAACATGAATGATCCCAAGAGGAAGCTAAAAGATATAGCACAAATATCCTGCCTTACAAGCAGAAATGCACAAAGAACTTTATTCACTCACCATCAGCCAACAATACTCCCATGTCCTCCCAGGTAAACAGCACTGGCTTTTACACCCTCTCCCACTCAGAGTGGCACCTTCTCTAAGCAGTGATTCAAGGACAGTGTGTTCATAAACAAAGAGAACATCTGAGCCAATAAAGTTACTTAAGAACATTCCTCATCTTTGATCTCACTAATGACCACTTGTCAGACAACCTCTATTTCATGTGCATCATTCCCTATGCCTGAGGAAACCATCAGGCAGCGTGCCCTTCAGGCCAGCATTGTAGACAAATGCAATTACTTACTTGCTAGAAGGGGTCTTTGGGTTGGGTATGGCCTCTCTTTTCTGCCGTTCTAATAAGGCATCAACTTCACACTGTATATCCATGCTATTCCTATCATTAGATTTAAAAACCTGAAGTGGGGGCAAAAGTCAGATCATGATTTTGAGAACTTGACTTACATTGTAAGAAATATATTTGAGAACTGAGAAATTTATTTAAACATATTTAAGGTTTCAAAATGTATCCAATTAGTTCTCCCATAATGCTACTGTATCCACAGGTATCTTGGTCCCTGTGTCAAGTGAAACTGTTACAACATAAAAGAATTGTACTTACATATCTTTTAGCCTGAAAGGACCCTACACTGTTAAAGATCATGTCCAGACAACGAGGAAGCAGCCCTCCTTCCCCAGGGGAACCAGTCATGGTGTGAGTCTTCCCACTTCCCGTCACACCATATGTGAAAAGGAGACCTGCAACAGAGCATGTCACACTGGGTTATATCACAAAAGTCCTCCACTTGTAGTACTCATTGTATTAAAAAACACTTAAAATTAACCAGCTCAGCGCCTGACCAGTGTGGCTCAGTGCTTGAGTGTCAACCCATGAACCAAGAGGTCACTGGTTAGATTCCCGATCAGGGCACATGCCCGATCCTCAATAGGGGCCGTGCATGAGACAGCCAATCAGTGATGTTTCTCTCTCATTGATGTTTCTAACTTTCTATCCCTCCCCCTTCCTCTCTAAAAAAATAAAAATAAATAAATAAAAATAACCAGCTCAAAAAAGCAGGTTTAACACCACCTACCGAATCTGAATAAGGCCAAACATAAATCAAATATACAAATATCAAAAAAAGTTTTATCAGAGCGGGAGAAAAAGGAAAATACAACAAAACTCCAAGAAGCATACCATTTTTGCCATGAATGAGGTCATCTACCAAGGGATTAGCCACAACATCAAAGAGCTCCTTCTGGGTGGTATGAATGCCAAATACTTGTTTAAATGAATACTGAGTCTGTGGAGAAGGAAAAAAATAAAAGTACATAAATGAATTCCACTATATCTAGGTTAGATATACATATTTAAACCCATTCAGATGTTTCTTTATGAACATCTAAGATCTAGATGCACAAAGAAAAAGTACAAATGGTTTTTAAACCTGGAACCCTGAAAAGAAATCCTGCCCTGGCTGGTGAGGCTCTGTTGATTGGGCATCATCCCATGCATCGAAAGGTTACCAACTCAATTCCTGGTCAGGGCACATGCCCGGGTTTTGGGCTCCATCCCTGGTAGAAGGCACACAGGAGGCAGCCAATCAATGTTTCTCTCTCTCTTTCTCTCCCTTCCTCTCTTTCTAAAAATCAACAATTTTTTTTTAAAAAAGTCATGACCTACCTAAGTATACCAATTATAAATGTTAAATATTTACATTTATAACTACTGAAGAGAATGTAGAAAAATCTTAAACCCACTAATGCTTCACAGACTAAGGCTGACTTTGTTTTAATTAAATGACCAAGAAGATCAAAGGTATTATAATGATTCAGTCACTATACGAAAATCCTCACATATTTATTACCTCATTTTACCACTTTCTATTTTTTCTCATAAAGGTGTAATTTTAAATGGCATAACAGCATAGAGCTAAGTATTTTGATGTACTGTTTTTTTTTTAAAAAAAGCCAGCAGTGAACTGTAAATATAAACTGTATATAAAAACCCATGAGTTTTTATATAAAATAAACTTTAAATTAATTGTGATCTTTGATTCAATTATCAAATCTCTTTCAAAAATTAATTATTATAAAGTATAACCATATTGCCAAAAATATTACCAAACTTATACTTGGAAAATTAGATTGGATCCCCAAAGTGGCTGGAGGTGACCTCTGAAAATAGTTTGCTTTTCACTTGACCCAGAAAACCCCACAAAATCATGCAAATCAAGAGGCTCAAATCTTCATGTTCACTTTAAGAATACCTGTGAAACTGTGCAGGCCATTAAGGGTATGCATATTCGAAAAGCCACCAAGTATCTGAAGGATGTCACTTTACAGAAGTAGTGTGCCATTCTGTCGTTACAATGGTGGTGTTGGTAGGTGTGCCCAGGAGAAACAGTGGGACTGGATACAGAGTTGGTGGCCCAAAGAGTGCTGAATTTTTGCTGCACATCTTAAAAATGCAGAGAGCAATGCTGAACTTAAGAGTTTAGATTTAGATTCTCTGGTCAATGAGCACATCTAGGTGAACAAAGCTCCCAAGATGCGGAGCAGAACTTAAGAGCTCATGGGCGGATTAACCCACATGAGCTCTCCCTGCCACATTGAGATGATCCTTAATGAAAAAGAGGAGATTGTTCCTAAACCAGAGAAGGTTGCACAGAAGAAAAAAAATATCCCAATTCTCTGGAGAGAAAAGATGGTGACCAGCAAGAAGGTGGGGAGGGAGAGTGTGTGTGAGAGAGTGAGGGAGCGATAGAGGAGTGGGTATGTGAGCGAGCTAGGGACAGTTAGATGCTGTAGGTCTTCCAAGGGGCTGCCAAACTGGGCAGTCTTAGATGGTGAAACCCCGCTGACACCGTGGACACTCCGGGGGTGGCCAGCGCAGGCACAGAGACCAAACCATCTTGAGAAACAGAACTGCTTGGGACTAGGATCCTAGCCTCAGCACCACCCATTCTGGTCTCAGATGCAAACCGGAACGCTATATAGCCACTAAGAACAAAGACCTGCAATCACAGCTGCAGACCCACAGACACCAAGAATCCAGACATCCTGGCCGCAGATTTCGGTGAGTCACAGAGCCCATCCCCCTCCCTGCAGGCTTGCTGCAGTGCCATAGGAACTGCTAGACCCACACCACACAAGCAAGCCTTCTGCCCACACAGGGCAGCTCTGCTACCTAAATTTGAGCCTGGGTGCGGGAAACTGGGAATCTGCTTCACGCAGAGTGCAATCGTGTGACCAGAACCCATGCCCACAGGGCGGCAGTGCCACCTGACTTTGATTCTGGACAAGCGCACACGGAAGTCTGTCTCCCGCAGCGCAAGAGTGGACCTCCTGCTGACACAGGGTGGCTGTGCAACCCAGTCCCCCAAGCAGACCAGGGGCCCCGATTCTCTGCGTGAGAGGAAGCACTGAGCACTAGTGACTTGACTCTGTTTCTCATTGCACACGCCTGGGAACCCTGATTCCCAGTGCACTCACACTAAGAGCCAGTGACTCAATTCTTGGTGCATGCGCATACAGAGACCGATTCTCGGCGTGAGGCTGCACCAAGCAACAGAGACTCTGATACTTAATTCTCGACGCGGGCACAGGGGGACTCTGACTCTTGGCATGCGCTAGGGGACTCTGATTTTAGGCACACGCCAGTGGGGTCTCTTTTTTCAGCGTGGCGCAGGCGGGGGCCCTGATTCTAGGTGCATGCACGAGGCCGCACTGAGCACTGGTGACTCTGATCCTGGGCGAGCATGGCTCCCACCAACCCATGGCAGTCACACGTCTTGGTGTCAGAGCTCTTCAATGACACCCGGGTGGCACGAAGCTCCCACTGTACATGGCCTAGGCCTCCGCAACTTGGCATTTGAACCTTCTGGTGATAGTTAGAATGGGGAGACAACGAAACAATCCCCAGAGGAAAGAAAAAGAGGCATCGCCAAGAAAAGAAATTAGTGAAACAGAGGCATGCAACATGACAGAAAAAGAATTCAGCGTAATGGTCGTAGAGTTCATATACCAGATGGATGAGAAAATCAACAATCTATGCAAAAATCAGGAAGAAATCAAAAGTGATATAGCTATAATCAAAAACATCATGGAAGGTTTCAACAGTAGACTAGAGGAAGCAGAGTACCAAATTAGTGAGTTAGAAGATAAGGTATGCCGAAACCGGTTTGGCTCAGTGGATAGAGCGTCGGCCTGCGGACTGAAAGGTCCCAGGTTCGATTCTGGTCAAGGGCAATGTACCTGGGTTGCGGGCACATCCCCCGTAGGAGATGTGCAGGCAGCAGCTGATCGATGTTTCTCTCTCATCGATGTTTCTAACTCTCTCTCTCCATTCCTCTCTGTAAAAAATCAATAAAATATATTAAAAAAAAAAGAAGATAGGGTAGAGAAACAAGCCCAATCTGAACAGCAACTGGAGAAAAAGATTAAAAAGCAGGCGAGCCTAAGGAAGCTTTAGGACAACACAAAATGAAGTAACATACATATGACAGGGCTGCCAGGAGGACAAGAAGAGCAGCAAGGATTAGAAAATCTATTGGAAGAAATAATGACAGAAAACTTCCTGGATATGGGGAAGAAAAAAGTTACAAAAGTACAGAGAGTCCCAAGCAAGATGAATCCCAAAAGACCCACACCAAGACACGTCATGATTACAATGGCAAATGTTAAAGACAAAGAGAGAATCTTAAAGGCTGCAAGAGAGTTACCTACAAAGGATCCCCCATCATATTATCAAATGATTTCTCAACAGAAACACATCAAGCAGAAGGGAATGGAAGGAAGTATACAAAGTGATGCAAAGCAAAGGACTGAATCCAAGAATACTCTATCCAGCAAGACTATCAATCAAAATTGAAGGGGAAAGCAGGAGCTTCGAAGACAAAAAAAAAGGCTAAGGGAGTTTATCACTATCAAATCAGCAATGCAAGAAATGCTAAAGGGAATGCATTTCTGTAAAAAGAAGAAATAGAAAGGAACACAGGCATAAAGTACAGAAATGGCTACAAACAAGTACCTATAATAATAACATTAAACATAAATGGATTAAATGCTCCAATCAAAAGAAATCAAGTGACTGAATGGATAAGAAAATATGACCCATATATATGCTGTTTATAGGAGACCCACCTCAGAACAAGGGACTCACACAGACTGAAAGTGAAGGAATAGAAAAATATCTATCAGGCAAATGGAAACGAAAAAAAAGCTGGGGTAGGTAGCAATACTTATATCTTACAAAATAGACCTCAAAGTGAAGACCATAACAAGAGACAAGAAAGGCCACTTCATAATTCTAAAGGGATCGATACAACAAGAGGATATAACTCTGGTAAACATTTATGCACCCAATGCAGGAGCACCCAAATACATAAAAAAAACTTCTGGAAGATATCAGGGGAGAGATTGACAGCAACACCATAGCAGGAGACTTTAATACCCCATTAACATCACTGGATAAATCCTCTAGACCAGTGGTTCTCAACCTTCCTAATGCCGCAACCCTTTAATACAGTTCCTCATGTTGTGGTGACCCCCAATTTCATTATTACAAATTGAACATAATTAAAGCATAGTGATTAATCACAAAAACAATATGTAATTTTATATGTGTTTTCCGATGGTCTTAGGCGACCCTTGTGAAAGGGTCGTTCGATCCCCAAAGGGGTCGCGACCCACAGGTTGAGAACTGCTGCTCTAGACAAAAAATTAGCAAAGAAACATCAATCCTAAATGACTCACTCCAGGCAGCCCTCGGGTTACATCGGACTCAACGTACATCATTTTGTGGTTACATCACCATCTCCCATTTACAGTATTTATATATTAAAAAAAGTTCGATGTATGTACATATGTGCTTTATGTTTTTTATTATTTATTTACCACAAGTAAAGGTCAGGAATTGTTGTCTTTCTTTTAAATCTTTTTTTTTTTTTACTGTTTCACTTCATTGCCGCTGTGTATGTGCTCCATGTGAGTGATGTAGGTGCTTATGTAGGTGGATTCGGACTTACGGCAAAAATCGTGTTACATCATGCCGTAGGAATGAATCTCTGACGTAACCTGAGGACCTACTATAGATCAGATGGACTTAATTGACATCTTTAGAACATTCCACCCCAAAACTACAGAATATACATTCTTCTCAAGCGCACATGGGACATTTTCAAAGATAGACCATATATTGGGACACAGGCAAAGTCTCTCCAAATTCAAGAGGATTGAAATCATATCAAGCATCTTCTCAGATCACAAAGGCATAAAATTAGAAATCAACTACAGAATAAAC